GTTTGAGAACTGCTGAGCTAGTGGGTAGAGCAGATTCCTGGGTTCTGTCCCCGGCCCTACCCCTGACTTGCTGTATGACCCTGGGCCAAAACGATTGTTTCTATTCCGGAAGCACCTCGAGGGCTCTGTCCCCTAGGCCACGCTGCTAAACACCTCTGCCCTGCTGAGCACACACAAGGCCCTGGGTAAACAACAAGTTCAAGGTAGTTTAGCGGCCCGTTCAAGGGCGGGATCTTCCCCCAACAGGAAAAAACAAGGCCTGGCTGCTTGCCAGCAGAATTCCCCGGGGCCTGGAGCCGAGCAAAAGCCCCAAGCACACGACCCTCGTGGGGAGGCGCTGAACCGCTAAATGCTAAGAACGCAGCCCCGGCCTTTCCTCCAGACAGGGCTTGTGGTGCGGGCGGGATTGATGGCCAGTTTTATCTCAAGTGAAAAGGACACTGGCTCGGATCCACCACTAGTGCAAATCAGCATCGCTCTATTGACGTCAAAGGGCCCAATTCTCAGCCGTATGTTCATCTGTCAGCTGGCGGCATGAATTCCAGTGACACTCACTTCAAGACCGCTTTGCTCTGCCCGAGAGGGGCAAAGGGGCCCCAGCGCAAGCCAGAATCAGGGCTTGAGGGGCTGCGTTATTTGCACTAGCTGAGCATCCGGCCCCATGACTCAAGTGGCTGGAGGAAGAAGACATGAAAAGGGGAAATCTGTGGGTGCAGAAACACGGAGGTCGGGAGGGAAAACAGGTCTCTGACAAAGGACTAGGTGTGCTAGAGGCAGCCAAAATCCCAAGGCTTCAGCAGCAGGAGCTGTTGGTTGCTGTCGCAAATGCTGCATTGCCCTGGGACTCTCGCAGGGCTTCCCAAACACTAACCAAGTCCTTTTGGGCTCCATCAGGTTTAGCCTCTTTTTTCCTGATGGGGGAAACCGAGGCAGAGAGCAGGGAAGGGACTTGACCAAGGTCGCCCAGCGGGCCAGTGGCAGAGCTGGGACCAGACCACAGGTCGCCTGACTCCCAGCCTGGCCCCTGCAGCCCCTGGGCCATGTTTCCTCAATTCTCTGATCAGCTGCATCCCCCAGCCCAGGCTCCCAGCCCCTGCCCAGAGCGGAACGAAAGACTAAAGAGAAGATGCTCGTTCTGCCGCAGGGATTTCACTACCAGCCCCGCCGCAGCAGGAGCATCCAGATATGACAGAATGAGGAGAGCTTTGATCCTGGGACCTGATTCTCCCAAAGCAGGGGGTGCAGGAATGGGGGGGGGGGGCACAGGCTGGCCAGGAGAAGCCTGGAATTGCAGCTGGGAGTCAGGACTGAGGGGCATTGGCAGAGCGGTGGAGGGGAGCCCAGGGTGGGATAGCAGGGGGCTGTGGGTCTGCATTGAGGGGCATTAGCAGCGCTGCTGGGAGCATCCAGATTTTTCAGAACTGTCCCTTTAAATCTGACTACAATGGACAGTCCCTTGATTAAGGGGGTGGGGAGGTGGCCCTAGGCTATATTTACTGACATGAAAATATGTTGCAGTTGCTAAATTCCAGACATTGTTTGTGCGTTAGTGGGATGAAACTTTGATGGGAAGATCTTGGCAACAGTGCGCCAGGCTGCTGATCCCTCTGCCAGGGGAAAGAGATAATATAGTCTTATCTAATACTCTGGGCTAGGAGCTGGTATCCCAACTGGTTGGTAGAGGACATGCCGCACTGTCCAGTTCCCTGACTGGTGTTGATGACAACATGATTAGGGCAACAGATCAGAACCCAGACATCCTGATTCCTAAACTCAACTGTGGGAGGAGGGGAGTGTTCTCCAGTGGTCAGAGCAGGGGACTGGCAGACTTCTGGGTTATATTCGCAGCTCAGGGAGGGGAGCAGAGCTTGACTGGGAATCAGGACATCTGGGTTCTATTCCTGGCTCCGTTTGACCCTGGCCAAGTCACTTGCCCTCTCTGGCCTCAGTTTCCCCATATATAAAAGGGGGTTAATAACACTCCAGGGGGTTCAGAGCGTGAATGGGGGCTAAGAGGCCACAGCCATAGGGGCGGGCAAAGTATTGAGGCAGAAAGAAAACCTGCATCACTCGAATGTGAACTTTCAGCAGGCTTGTTTCTGAGGCAGGAGAGGGATCTTTGAACCTAAAACTCAAGGGGTTCCAGCCTCCTCTCCCTCCCTGAAACCAGATCACCAAATCTGGCCCAGCCCTGCTGCCTTTAATAATAAATATCTCCCCTCACTCGTCCCAGCCTCCGCTCTGTCCCTGCACCTCCAACCTGCTCTCGAGTGGAGCAGGAATTAAATGACAGAGCTAAGGGAGTGTTATTGTCCCCAGTCTAACGTTAGGGAAACTGAGGAACAAGACAGTCAGGGACGCAACCCTGTGCTCCGAGTGGCCCCAAGCCTCTGACTGTCCGAAGCTGGGACTGGATGACAAGGGATGGATCACTCACTAATTGTCCTGTTCTGTTCATTCCCTCTGAAGCATCTGGCACTGTTGGAAGACAGGACACTGGGCTAGATGGGCCATTCTTATGATCCAGGGGCAAGCTCCAGATAACTGCCGTGGGTTCGTGATGCTTGCAGAAGGATGGGGGAAGGAGGGAGGGAGCTGGCAGTTTTTTCATTGGCTGGGCTGACAGTGTTTTGCCGATGGCGTGCGGTGCTGTTGTTATAATCCACAGGAATTCCATTAGGGAACCAGCCAGAAGGGAGGGGAGGCATGTGGAGCGGCTAAGAGCCTGAGCCTTGCTCACGGTTAAGCTTGAAATAGTTCAGCTGTTCCTCAGGAGCAAAAAATACAAACAGACCTTCCAACCCGTCCAGAGCAAAGTACATTTAACAACAGCATCATCCTGACCACCTACTTCTCATCGGGCACGTTTTGTCAGCAGAGCTCAAAGGGCTTTCCAAAGGAAGTCACAAGCTTTATCCCCATTTTCCAGATGGGGAAACTGAGGCATTGAGAGGCGAAGTGACTTGCCCATGGTTATCCAGCAGGCCAGTGGCAGGGCCAAGAACAGAATCCCAGTCCACCAAATAGGAAGCACCCAGATTCGATGCAATTTCAGAGCCGGGTCAGCTCTGCGGAAGCTCACTACATAGCTTCTTAGCTATCACTGGGGCAGCAGGAGACTTTGAAAACATGCAGGGCCAGGTCTTCAGCTGTGTGGCCAACGTTCCTCAGCTCTGCCCTTGCTGGGATCCCCTCCAAGGCCTAACGGGGAGTTAGGGCTCCGTGACCCAAGAAGATCACCAGGCAGAGCCGGTCAGTTATGTGCCACATTGACACGTGGCCTGCTGGAAGGCAGTCTGAGACGGACCCATTTCACAGAAGCCACTGGACACATATTAGAGGGTTCTGTTGCTGTTTTGGTCCGAGCATTTGGTCTGAGCAGGGCCTTGCTGGGTCATTCAGAAACCGATGATACGAGGCAGGTATATTCTTTGCTGCAATCCTGTTTATTTACAAAGAATGAGCACAAGGTCTCGTGCCCCTGAACACAGTAGGAACAAACAACAGCCATCATTTTCCTTGTTCAGTAATCCCCACACCTGCCTCTCCAGTGCGTTCTGTGCCCAAGGAGCTCTGCCTCTGCTCTCTCTCAGTGCCACTCGCAACACTGCATCTCTTGCGGTCTGCTGTTCACACACCCAGCCTGCCTAACACTCACCTCGCCCCAGCCTTTGCAGCCAGGGAACCCCTCAGCCCACACAATTTAGCATCTTGATCAGACCTTGCCACTCATTGCCTTGGGCGGTGGCTTCTATTGTTTCCAGCTCTCACTGTGTAAAAGGGGGCTTAGTTACTCCTTCCCTTTAGCCTGGAAGAAGGCTGCTTAGCTTTAACCAGGTCTGTGATTGTCTTAGATCAAAGGCCTGCTTCATGGCCATTAACATATCCTGGTGTAACAGTAACAACAGCAACCTACAAGAGAAAAGGCTCCATAACCTACACAGACGTCGATTTCCAGAAGGCTTCAAACGGGATTTTAAACCAGTCAACACCCGGGGCTGGGTTGTTTTCAGCTGTGTAAAACCCACATCATTGTCAAGCCAGGGAATTGTGAATTAACTCAACAGCGCTAGCAACCAAAGCTGTCTGCTCCCAACAGAGCCAACCAAGCAATGCAGAAGCTCAGGAGGTTTCTGCCGCATCTGCCACTGTTCCCAGTGACAGGTACCGATCTGCTCCCATTGATAAGAATCCCCCCCTTGGTAGCTGATCCAAAAATAACTCCTCGCTCCCTGCTGCTGCCCGCAGGGGCTGTGTACTGAAATCAGCCTCATCTCCATTAAGCAGCTGCACAAAATAAATATGATTCGCCTCAATCAATAAAGAGGAAAATAAGCCAGCCAGTTTCCAAATATAGAATCCCACTTTCAAAAGATCTTGGTGCCCAAATGAGGAGGGATGGCAGACAAAAATGATGGGAGCTGTGGAGAAATAGATGACTCAACCCTTTGATCCAGACATTCCTCTGTCTCCCTGTCCAACTAGCAAAAAGCAGAGAAAGCAGCCCATGGATGGACACAAACAGCTTGGCAAACGTCTGATCCATTCAGGCAAGGAAAAATATCCTTTGCTTTTTCTCTGGAGTGGGCAAATAATTTCTGTGCATGGATTGGTAAATGCTCCTGCCTCAGCAGGGGTGGTGGTGGGGGGATATGGACCTCTTGGGGTCCTTCCAGCCCTATATTTCTCTGATTCGATTTCGATGACTATTTTGCAGCCCCTGTTCCGAAACTTGCCGGATTAAAAGGATCACAACAAGATGGTAGATCGCCTCCCACACCTCATCACTGACCGTTCAGAAGATTCCCCCGAGAGCTTCCCCACTGCAGCAAAACCAGGCAAGGTCAGATCCCCCGCTCGGGTAAGTTAGCATCCCTCCGCTGACTTCGCTGCAGCCCGGCTGAATTACACCCGCTGGGGATCGGCTGATTACAAAGACGACCACCTGTTTGCTTTGGGTGGATGAGAACAAACTCTGTGTGGCATCTATCCTTACTCACCAAGTTCTCGGCTCCCGGTAATTGTGCCCCTCTTTGGAACTAGCCTTCTGGTGGCTTGTGACGGCGTCCTTTCCAGAAATCCCACCGCACACAGAACCAATACAGGAGAGTCGCTCCAGAATTTTCCTGGACAACAAGACGTCTTGTCTCCCCAGTGTGTAGGCAGCTCAGATGAACCAGCTCTGGTTAGTTTTCTGTTGAGAGGCGATAGATATGAAAGAGCTCGGCTCTATGACACCTCTCCTGGTGAGGAATTCTGGCCAGTTTCCTCTGATATTGACCAATCCCATCTGTTTCGTTCCTCCTCCTCCTCTTTATTTAACTACCTCCCCCAGACTCAGCAAAGCAGGCTCCAAATAAAGTGACTCAGAGTTCCTAGATTTTCATGGGATTTAAATAAAGAATAATAATCATAAGCAGCAGCAGCAAACTCTGAAATGAGCAAGATCCTGAGAAAACCTGTTAAAAAAATATGATCCTTCCATCAAGTTCTCTTGAGACAGCCCCGAGAGAGGTCTTCCCAATGGAAAATCATGGCCTACAGCAAGCAGAAGCTAGGGCAGGTTTCTTAAGGTCACTCGAAGCACCATTGCCCAGTGCCTTGATTTCTCCCGGAGCTGGAACAGCAAATCCAAGGGTATTTGAGTCCGGCTGTTCCCAGAACCACGGGATCTCCTGCCTTCTGCTTAGCAGTTGCTGAGCTCAGAGAGCAGAGCGAATCATCTGTAAAAAAAGGCGTCTCTTCCCCTTTCTCTGTCTTTGCTCTGTGGCTCAGAAGCTGGGGGATTGCAAACAGGAAACCTGTTTGACAGATAAAAATATTCTAACCAAAATGCCCAGAGGGGAAACAGGGTAAGGCTAGGAGGCTGCTGAGGTGTGAAGAGAAAGAGGAGGGACAGATCTCTTAAGGTAGAATAAAACTGCATGTCACCTGTGGGGGGAGGACTGAACCCCCAGCTGGTTAAAGGACACTGGAACTGCAAGGATTCCACCAACTCAGCCATGCCACAACAGCTTGAGTGTGCATCTGTAGCCCCATCCATAAAGTGCTAGGTGCTGGCCAGGCATTGACGAGGGGCCAGAGCTTGCAGTCTTGTCCACCTGGGGTAACTGCACCATGTAACCTACAGAGAGAATTTAAACTGAAATAGTAATACTGGTATAAGCCACCCTGATTCTGGGATAAGAGTATCTGGCAGATGGAGGTAGTGTGGCCTAGTGGATAGCACACTGGACCGGGGTTCAGGTGAACTGCAATCTATTCCGGGCTGTGCTGTTGGATGGCCTGGAGCAAGTCACTTTGCCTCTCCATGCCTCAGTTTCCCCATTTGTACAATGGCAATAACAACACTGAGATCCTTTGTAAAGCATGTCGAGAGGTACGGATTATAAGAGCCAGGGGCTATTATTTTTTCCCCAGTTTAATTTATGCTGCTGAAGAAGAGGTTTTAACTAAACAAACAAAAACACTTGGTACTTTGGTACTTGAAACAGTGTGTGCACATGAGGGGGTAACTGGTCCAACTTTCCTGTGTAGACAAGGTGTTATACCAAAGTAATCAACACAGGGCTTCCGCCAATTTCACTAGACAGATTTAATGAAGCATTTCTGTGCGGAGGGGCCCTGAAATGCCCAGCTGGGTAACTGCAGAAAGTCAGGGAAAGGGGCAAAAACACAACAAAAAAGACAAAGTAGCCGGGATTGGAACCCAGATCTCTGGCAACGACTGCCATATAAACCGTAAAGCACATGGAATCACCCTGAGCCAATGGGCAGGTGATCCAGTCTCAGCTGCCATTTCTGATCTGTTTAAACAACAATACCTGATGTGCCCTTCGTTACCACAGGCCCGAGAGATGCAATTAAGATCTCCTTCTCTTCTCCTTATAGCCTGCCAGCGAGCAGGAATCCTGCCTGTCCCAAACACTCCATCTGCTTTCTCTTCGGCTGGGCCGACCCACCCCTGAATCTCACTTCAGATTCACACAAAGGGGAACCCTTCCTGGGTGTCCCTTTGTCTCTTGTATCTTGAGACTGCCAAGCTCTCTGGAGGGACGGTCTCTTAATCTGGGCAGCGCCCGCCACAACGGGGCCCTGATCTCAGCTGGAGCCTTTAGCAGCTGCTGTAATAATCATCATCATTATTATTATCCCATGGCTCTAATGTTAAATTTGCAACACACAGGGGCTAATTAGGCTGCGGGGAGAGGTTTGGCCCACTAGAGGGAGCCAGTGCCTTGCAGTTGCCTGCATGGAGTTGGGTCCATTTTTCCTTATAAGTAAATTACAGGATTTTGCCCTTTTTCTGCCTCCCGGTAGCTCACGACTCAACCCCCTTTTCCTGCCAAGTATGAGCTGTTTAGACAAAGTTTCCAGCTTATGGGAGCCATTGGCGAAGTGTGATTGGCGGCCTCCCCCACCCCATGGGACCGTTCCTCCCTCCTGGCTGGACAGATTGAAGACGACTTTTCACAGACCGGATAATAGCAAAACACCCATTCGGGGGAGGGAGAATATTTGTATGAAGATCAGCTGGTGGGTGGGGCCATAACCTCTGACCCACCCACCCCCCTCACCGGCTTTACGAGCTCTCCTAAATTTCTCTTTCCCCCAACTCCACTGAGAGCGGGGGGTTTCTACTCACAGCCTAGGGGGACAAATATTTTACCCCATTTTGCGGGGGGGGAATCAGGCACAGAGAAGGGAAGACACTCACCCAGGATCACTGGCAGAGGGGTTTAAACCTAGAAATCCTGCCTGCCAGCCATTTGCTCTAACCACTAAGGTCTCCCCTGGCAGAGCTCGGAAAGGAACCCAGGAGTCCTGGCTCCCAAGTCGCTTCCTTAACCCATCCCTGGCCATTTTCAAATCAAGACGAGATGTTTCACTAGACGCTCTGCTCTAGGAATTGTTCTGGGGCAGTTCTCTGGCCTGGAGGTCAGACTAGGTGATCGCTAGTGGTCCCGCTAGCCTTGGGATCTAGGAATCCGGCCAAAGCCCTGGCCGAACATTAATTGGTTACTTGACAAGCCTCCCGCCGGGATCACGAAATACTCAGTCCCTTGGGAAATCGGGGACAGGTTCTGGGCACACAGAACGGTGGCGGAAGCTCGGAGCCTCAAACCCACCCCCCTGCCTCAGTTCTGCCTCCTCAGGAAGAGAATTAGGTCACTTGCTTGGCTCTCAGCGGCACAGCCCCGCCGGGGAGGAGAGCACCCCCTGCTGAGTCACCCACCCCACTCCCTGCAGCAGAGGGTGCCCTGCTCTCCAGGACGCTTTCGAGGTCTCCCGTCCGAGGACTAGGCTGGCCCCACACAGCTTCCCCGGCTGATGTAGCCCAGGTCAGGCCTCCAAATAGCAAACGCACCTGATCTCAAATGCCTGGCAGGATACTACCAAGGGGGTCTCATGTTTGATGGTAGTTGTTTGTCTAGCATCAGCCCCCAGACACCCCAACGGAGATCAGGGCCCCCTTGCACCAGTCCCTTCAGAGACCCAGAGCCACGGACAGTGCCTTCCAGGGGGGCGGCGGTCATTTATAGTCTAACGAGACAAAGGAAAGACGATTCTCCGTTATACAAGGGGGGAACTGAGTTCAAATGATTTGTCTAAGGTCCCCCAGAGCAGCGTCTGGACTCGAACCCAGGTCTTATGGCCCGGCACTCAGAAGACCCCCAGCGGCCGGTAGCTGGCTGGCTTTTCAGTGTCCCAGCCTGGCACGGAGGGGCTTTAGCCTAGATAAGAATCGGGGCTATTTAACTAGCTTACGGGTGCTGGCTGTCTGCTAGGTGACCAGATGTCCCGATTTTATAGGGACAGTCCCAATTTTGGGGTCTTTTTCTTATATAGGCTCCTATTACCCCCCACCCCCGTCCCAATTTTTCACACTGGCTGTCTGGTCACCCTACGGCAGCCAGCCATCGGAGCGGCGACCGAGCCCAGCCTGTCACAGCTGGCTCGCGCAGCGTCTCGCGGATCCAGGGACGTTCTCCCATCACACCCCTTGTGTCACAGGCCCGGGCCGGCCGGGCGCTGCGGTGACACCACCCTCTCATCTCCGGCCCCAGCACCTCGCCCCAGAACTCTGCCGCGGCACTTTCCTTTTCCATGACGTCGCCGGCGGCGCTCCTGTGCTCGCCCGTGAACGAGCAGCATCTTGTGGCTTCGGTAGCTGCTTCCTGCCCTTTGCATGCAGAGAGAGCGTGAGGAGGATTTGTCAGTTCCCCTGCCTCCAGCAGACATCGCTGCCAGGGTCTCGGAGCTCGGGCCGCCGCAGGGCATGGACTCCCCGGTCAAGGAGGGACCTAGGACAGGTAGGAGCCACTGGGGAGCGGGGGGAGACCTCGACCGCTCTTCACTGGAGCAGATTTGTTCCCTTAAGGGGAGTCCAGTGAAGAGGGACGTGGGCGAGAGCCATGGAGATCGGAGTCCTGCAGACAGGAGTGGGGCAGCGGAGCCAGGGGAATCTATGCCCCATGCCACAGCGGGGCAACTGCCCGCCAGGCGTTGGGCTGATCCAATGCATGAGTCCTGCACAGGGCTGCCCAGAGGATTCAGGAGGCCCGGGGCAAAGCAATTTCGGGGACCCTTTCCATAAAAAAAAGTTGCAATACTATAGAATACTATATTCTCATGGGGCTCCTGTGGGGCCTGGGGCAAATTGCCCCACTTGCCCCCCCCCCCGGGCAGCTGTTCATTCACGGGTGTGACCAGGAGGACAGGTCCCCTCCCACGAGCTCAGCCCCCACCCCCAGGCAATCGTGGGGCTCTTTACGGAGGTTGCCCAGCTGTGGGGGCTGGGTTGGGGGAATGCAGACGCCTGCCTGGCAGGCAGGGGTCGCTCCGAGACCCACACAGCTCGCTCCATGCCAGCCTTCAGATGACATCCGCGCCCCGATGTCGTCCGGGGCCGGCCGGTTCGATGGGCCCTGCTCCGGAGCCAGCCCTGCAATGCTTTCTCCAAGCGGAGGGGTGAGCGCAGCGCAGCTCCGTCCTAGCACCAACGCTTTCGAAGACGGAGGCCCGAGCCTCCTGTGCCTCGGGGTGGCTGTTTGCCCCAGTGCAAAGCAGATGTCAAACGCCGCCCGAGCGGAATGGGCAGCAGCCCACACTCCCGCGGCGCTCATGCTGACCGGGGGGCTGGGGGCGTGAATTGGTGCCTTTTCTTTCTTATAGGAAAAAATGAGAGACAAGAGGGGGAGGGGATCTCTTTTATGGGAACAAATTCGGCTGGTGAAAGAGAAACACTTTCGAGCCCCGAAGAAGAGCTCCTGGTAGCCCGAAAACGTGTCTCTTTCGACAACAGGAGTCAAAAGTCCAATAGGAGACATCGCCTCCCCCACCTCGTCTCTCTGATATCCTGGGAGAAACTCGGCGGCAGCAACAAGAAA